CCCATATTTTTAAGTTCGGTCATTCCCATGGCCTGAAAACCATTAAAATTTTTTATCTGCCTTAAAGTGATCATATGTTTTAGTGAATGCATTTTAGCAAATCTAGCATGAAACTCTCAAATAATTCTAAAATTATTCATCTGGGAAACCAAAGACAGATTTGTTATAGCAACTCATTAGTAGTCTCTAAAATCAATTTCTAAATTTTACAGGGAAAGGGATGTTGACAATTACAGTGACGTAAGAGTGCAGAGGGACAGCGTTTCCAAAACAGATTCTTTAGGAATGATTCGGACGAAAGCATCCACATATCAGAAGTTTCCTACTAATAAACTTAAATGCCTGTGCCCATAAATTTGGGGTACAAGTGTATTTTCAAATCAAAGTCAGTGGCTTAGTTAACAGACTGCTATTGTCAGCTGTTTACGACGCACAGTCTTGGAAAAATACTCAGATTTTCAATTTTGTTGCTACCTGTCAACAAATACTTGTTAGCATAAACTTTCGTAATTGTGCGGCTGCCTTAGTTCTCACAACCAAGTTTGGGTATAAAATGTTCTCTTTTTTTCTCTTCTTTTCTTTTAAGCTCACCACATGGACAGCTAAAGAAAAAAAGTTTTGAAGATATTTTGCCATAAATGGCTCAGAAGATCATGCAAAGGAAGCCCCATGCACCTCCACTCACAAGCGCAGATCAAAATAGTTTAAGTAGGTCAGGACAACGTCTGTAGATTCCGATTTCCAAGAGCGACCCACAAATTGCCTCTGGTCGCATTTATTTCAAATCACAGCGTTTGCAATATTTTACATTCCAAATTCAAGGAGCTGCAGGTGGAAATGGTTGTGCAGTCAAGACACATCTAACCTGATGTAAAGTTGACTTAATTATTCCTGATTATTTTTTTAAACCTCGTACTTCTCCTGCACCTGAAACTCCGCATTCAGCGTTTGTGTGTGTGTGTGACCCCGCATCCCAGGGCCCACCGCCATCCCGGCCCCTTGTGCGCCTCTCTCTGCCGCCATCCGGAAGGAGGGGTTCTGCTTCTAAAAGATGCCTGACTGTACGTGTCTGTCCAAGTCATAAATATTTAAACATTATTTTCTTTCAATTTCCAGTCAAGACTGACAGGATGCCTCTAATTAGTCGTGGGCTATCGGCGGGGCCCAGGACAAAATTGGGGGATCGCAGACGGGTTCAAGTCGCTCGGCCTTGGGGAGCAGGGACCCAGGAGGGGAGGGGCTGAGGCCCACCCCGCCCTGGTCACACCTGCAGCGGGGCCCTGGCTCAAACTCACGCTCATGTTTTTTCTCTTAAAGCTCTTGGTTAGCAGGGATTGGAAGTTTTGTTTGTTTTCTTAATTCCACAAAAAGAAAGAAAATAAAATAATCACGAAGATTTTAAACCCCAGTCGCTATGCCAAAGAAGGAATTCACCTGCTCTAGTTTTTTTTTAATTTCCATAAATTTTAGTTTCTTCCGGGTTTCTTAAGACCTGACTTGCAGCCAGCAACAGTTTTTCCTCCCGCTCGACCCTCCCGCCCGGCGCTGGGTAGGTCGGAACCACTGGGGGCGGGGGGAGCGAGGAAGAGTGATTTTTCGGGCTCTGGCTGAGATGCACCCCCCCCCCC